ATTACCAGCGCGTAAGAAGCGAATAATCTCCGATCTGAGCACAGCGTTCATACTAATGCGTTAACGACGGTTCTCTCTCTCTCTTTCTCTCTCTTTTCTCGGGGAATAGAGATTTCGGTCCTGCCGCAGCTGTCAGATGAACAACTGGCAGAGTGTTGCATCGTTCGGTCCGCGAACGGTTGGCAAGTGCATTCGCCGTCAAGCGAATTACATATATCTTTCTCTCTGTATGCCAGAGGCCGAGGTAGGAGAAGAAAGGGAGCGTACGTGCCGCCGCTCATGTAACCTCAAACGAGACATCCACCTGCCTCCGTCGTCGAAATTATTGCGGCTTTTTCGTTGCTCGAGGCGAATTCACGCTCCTTCGTTCCGGACGAATTATATATTTGCGAGAAAAGTGAATCGTGACGCTGTCACGAAAGCGGTCCAGCTGTTTTATACGAAAAACGGTACTACATATAATATAAACAAATATAATTACTGTTATTTTTTATAATTGTTTCTGCAATTAATGAGACGAGGAAAAATTATGTGTTAATTTTCATGTTTGATGCTCTTGATCACTTATACATATAATGTAAAAATTTACCGATATAATTATTTATGAACTGTTTTTAGTTCTGAAGTTTACTTTGTGTTTTACGATTTTTCTGTCATCTTCGAGATCATTTGGTTTTAACACCAACGTATTATCTCATTTTTCTGCTGAGCCTGATTTTTCGTATTTAATTTTTTATAGACGTAGATTACAACTACAATGGTATTCTCCGGTAAAAATTCGCAGAAAATGATATTTTGCTCTACGCAAATAATCGCTGACCCTTCTCGCTCCGCCATTTTTTTACACTTTTTTATATACTGGCCATTATATTTATGTAGATATGTACACATGCCATAAAAGGGAGAAAAAGTGACGGAAATAGGAGAAGTGAGAAGGATTGTTTAAATAATCTTTCTCATCTTGTTGCAAATCCTTTTCGCGAATCATAACTTTGATGTTTTTGCGTTTCACAAAATTGCGTTGCCAAATTTTTGCCCCCGACATCGAAAGCAAACACGAATTTTGGGAAAAATAATAGTATCAAAAAAAAATTTAGTCTTTTTCAAAAATATTTTATGCTATTTCTTTATTTTACTTGAATTATTTTTAACTATCGGCATTTATCTCTTTGCATTTTATCTTCTTTTTAGTCTTTCAAATATTTTACCAATGTTTGAAAAGTCATAGCGGCTATTAAATTATATTTAAAATACAATAAAATATATAAAAGTAATTAATAAACAATAAAATAAAGTAATATATATATATATATATATATATATATATATAAA